ATATATATATATATATATATATATATATATATAAATAAAGTGTCCTTCATTTGGTGGGAACATCTTCCTAGATTTTATAGTGAGACTTTTTTTTTTTTGTAATTGTAATAGTTTTTTTTTTGTTTTGTTTAAATTATCTTTATGAATTTTGGTCTAATCCTCCTACATTTAGTTATCTTCTCTTTTTTTTTTAATACTATTAGGTTTACGGCAGATGATTATTAAGTCTAAAAGTGCAAAAAATATTGGGATATTTAATGTCTATATAGTGATGGTTGATATTCCTATCTTTTATTTAAACAAAAACAAATAAAATAAAAAGTTTAAGTTTAATATATGTGAATTCATGATTCAATGTCATTGTGAAAAACTTTTTCAATTAAATTCTCAAATAATTTTTGTGAAATCAATTTATTTGGGTGATTTAAAAATAAAAAAGGTCTAATATGTTAATTGTATTAGCATCAGATGTAGTGATTCTTGGTATGTGAGATTAATCTTTCTGAATAAGGAGAAATCAGAGAGTGATCATGCGTCTATGTGGGTTGTGCCTCTTTGTAAAACAGGGAGAAGAAAAAAATTATGTGAAAATGAGTGGAGCAACCAATTTTGGCGAAGAAGTGTTTGGTACCAATTTTTGTGTATTTTAGTTCTCTCTATTGTTTGATTATATATTGGTGATGAGTTATTTTTATCCCTAGTGGTTCTAGGAGGACTTATGACGTATCCATTAATTATTATTAGTGAAATTTTTATTGGACTACGTCTCGTGCATATTTACCTCAATGTTTTTCCACATTAGTTAAAATTTAGTATCAGTTATTTTTATTATTATATTTTATGCATCTAGCTGAAATTATCTTGTTGCTTCCAGACTATTATTATTTATACAGAAAAAAAAAGGAAAATCAGTTTTATTTCTGCTTAATTGTTATTATTTATTAAATTTTCCAACTAATTTTATTTACGTAAATTTAGTTTGAGTTTAATTTTGATATACCGTGGACATAGATAAAAACGGTTAATTAATCAAGAAATTATTTTAGATATTTTTAGATATCTTTCTACAAAATTTTATAGTCTGATGTGTCTGCCAAGTGAACTGACAAGTAAAGATGCATGTTTTTATTTCTCCTGTTTATAATACAAAGAAAACCCTATATGTATAACAGTGAAAGTAAAATGCAAATACCCTATCCAATTATAATTACTAAAAAGCCTTGGAATGGATGGAGACACATTTCATGTAACTACTGTGTTACTCCATCTAAATATATTATAATTAAACATCTAGTAAATTGTATTACACAACCCATTTGTGTGAGCAAATTAAAGTGTGATAATTGTTTTTTATAAATATTCTCATGATATTAGACAATTGAAACAGCTGTATTAAGATGTATTGAGCGGATGAGATCAGAGTCAGGGAAGTTGAGGGGTGGCAGAGAGAAGGGGCTCTGTGTGGAGCTTCCTTTTCTCATCTCTTGCATTGTGAGCAAAGCTGCAACTGTGTTTCTGAATATCCCTTCTCCTGCTACTGTTATTGCTTCTTTTGCTCTCTCGGCTTCTTTCTCTGCTGGGAACACTGCATCGATTATGCTCTCACATTCCCTCACAAGCTTTGAAATTAGATCCGTTGTGAAAAAGGGCTGCTCCAACACTTTCTGAATGAATGGCAAACGCAGAAGCCTCTTTGTTCTCTTGTCGTATTTCTTCAGAATTTTAGCCAACCCTGCAACATTCAATCTTGTCATAACAAATTTTATGCACAACTCCACGGTAACGAGATATTGTCCGTTTTAGACTTAAACTTTTACGATTTTATTTTTGATCATTATCTAAAAGGCCTCTCTTATATTAGAGTATGTGTGCGCTTTATATATTATTATTTTTTCTTATTTTATTGATGTGTATTTGTTTGTATTCCAATACTATGAGTTAATCATTTATACACTGTCGGTATAAAGTTTTTTTACACTGGTAATCAATTATATCTTTTAATTATGTCATGTCACTGATACTGTATTACTAATAGTGACATGACATAATTAAAAGATATAATTGGTTGTTAGTGTAAAAAAATTTTACATCGGCAGTGTATAAGTGATTATCTATATTACTGTACATAGGAAAAACAAAAGGTACCAATGTAATTGATGTTGCTGTAGTTTACTAGGAGAACCATTTCACCATGGAAATCAACTATATCTTTTCTGATTCTTGCCATCTCCTCCCTATAATCCGCTTCTGAAGGTTGACTACCATTGGGTCCCCATAGATCAACTACTCTCTTGATTCTCTGTTGCACTTCCTGCACTAAACATCTAATTATAAAATTTCAAACTCACCATTTATTTTTCACTTTAATGTGTTACTATAAGCTTCATGCTACCATATTATCCGATAGAATCATAAAGAGATCATAAACAATAATAGCGATGCGAAACGTGTAAAAGGAAACAGAAAAATGTTGCGTATAGGTATGTGCACCTACGGCATTTTCTAATGGGCCCAAAAATAAATGCCTCTCAACTGAATTTATTGAATAATTGAAGTGCATTTACTAAAATAAAATTCCCATTTTTCAACATTGATAGGGAAGTTCGATAATTTTAAGGCTCAACCAAACACGGTTGACGCTCTCCACGCGAAACTATGATTTTATTATTTTATATAATATAATTATTAAAATTTAATATTTAGATTTATCCTTTACAAATTTAATATAGAACTTATATTAATACTTCTGTTTAAAAAGTTAAGTTATATGCTTTTTTTTATCATGAAAAATCTGAGTTTTATGTTGACTAGAGATAACTAAAATAAAGTATAAAAATAAGAAAATAATTTTCACCTTTTAAATTAATTTTGAAAGTTCAAACTCACATTTTAAAATGATATTAAATTTTATTATATATTTGTTAAAAAATTATTTATCATATTTATACTCCAAATTCAATAACAAATAAAATTAAGGGACAATTTTTATTTATAAATAAGTTTTTTATTGGTTGAATTTGACTCAAATTCACATTTTAAGATGTTTAACTAAATGTGTTCCATTAAATTTGTTTTTTCTTATTTTTGGGTCATCTTGTTTTTAATTATGACTTGCACTTCTTATGCACAATTTTCTTGGGATTAATAAATTGTTGGCTTATAAAAAAAAAACTAAATGTGTTAATTTAAAAAATTAATATATTTATAATTTAAAGAACTAAAATAAAATTTGAATATATTTTGCCCACACCCAATTTTTATTTGATAGATCAAATTCATTCTTTATACTTTTGTTCTAACTTTTTTTTACATTAGTCCCTCATGTAAAAAATAGAAAGTACCTATAAATTTTTAGGTCAACATCTGCCAATGTTATCCCACGTAAAATTCTGTTAAATAATTTTAATTTTCATTCATATAAGTTTGTCGAACTATAGATAATATATTGTTAGTTTTAATTTTCTAAACCACCAAATAAAACTTAATGTTCTTAACTAATGAAGCCTCAAGATTAACAATACAGAATTTCCAAAGCTCTCGCATATAAAACTCATTGCTTTTGATTCAAAATAACCTATTAAACATTTAAACCATTAAGTTGCTTCCTCATGTGGTGGGCCACTCACTTATTAAGCCAATAAAATGAATAATTTGTTTTGTTCTTAATAATAGTATCATGTTTTTATTTACGTTTTCGCAGCTGGCCAGCATTACCACCACTTTGGTCATAATTTCCAGTTGAGGTAATGCAAAACTTTCAATCTTTTACTCCTATTTAACCATTCAAAAGCATATTCGTAAGGAATAAACCACGTGATTATGATGAATAATGGAATGAATAATAAAGTGTGTGATTGTTTAAAATAAAGTGTTGAAAATAAGATGGAAAAGAAAAAGGGCGAATCCCAATGTATGTTTTATTTAATAAGTAATATTTAATTAAGTGCCATTCGGAGATATATATCACAAAACGTTAAAACAAGCATAGTGAGTTAGTGTTCATATATCTGACATATAACTTACACAAAACTGCAGCATTTTCCAAATAATGTTTAAATGTTACTTTCATTATATATTTTACATCTCAAGCTCTTTACAATTATAATTATAATGTTCAAATCATCTCAATATTTTTAAAATATATTAATGTTAAAAAGAAAAACTCTAAAACCTAAACCTATAGTTGGAGTTTCCCTACCCTACTGTTGCTTTCATAACTAAAAAATTGAGTGCAAAAGCAAAACTAAAACAAGACATGTATTAGTGGACCCTATTATCCGACAGTTTAAACTTCAAGATCTCTTACTACTCTTGTCTTACTTGCCAATCTTATAGTTCTGTTTTCCAACATAACTTTTTTTTATATTTAAAGTCACTTAAATTTAATTTCTCTAACCAACTACATCTAAATAATAATTTTACTAAAAAAAATAAAAATAAAATGATCTATATAGTTTGTAAATTGAGAGAGCATGCATATAGAAGAAATAAGAAAAATGAAATGAATGTGTGATGAGGAAGGACATTACCATATGGCGAATGATGAAGTCCTCCTCTTGCTCCATGAAGAAGGCATTGAACTTGTCAATTTCATGGTTCAACAAGTACATGAAATCAGCCTCGTTCTTGCCATATTCCAACGTTGGTGTCGCGGCGGAAATGAGTCTCACAAGCTTCTTCAACTCCTTGTAGGACAAGTACTTGTCCCTCCACTCGGGCAAAGACTCCTGAATCTGTTGCTTCAGTCTCTTCCCAAACTTCATCACCAATTGATGATTTGAAACCAAAGAGCAAAATTGTGATGATGATGATGGTGAAGAAGGTAGGAAAAGGGGTGTTGAGAGGGGAATTTAATAGGCAAGGTTTGGTAGAATACTAGAATATTAGAAGGCATATGCTTGGCGTGATGAAGTGGCGGTTAGAAAAGGGGTCGTTGAAGGGAGCATGAGAATTCTTGGAAGCATATTCGGTTACTATATTACACTTCATGCTCCTAATTAAGACCAAGACTTTGAAAATTTTATTTCCCTCTTGCTGTCAAAATCTGGTTAAGTTTAGTAACCAGGGAACAATTGGGAGGTGGGCTTTGTCTAGTGGAAGTGGGCCCTCTCTATATAATTTTTTTTCTTTTAATTTATTTTTCATATTTCATTTCATTCATATTAATATTATTAACTAAAGGTGCATCAAAGCTTTTAATAAAAAATTTAAAATAAGAGAGTTCAATATTGATAATAATTAATGAAAAATTAAGTGGATAATTTTCAATTATATATGGAAGATTGAATGATTATATATATATATATATATATATAATACAATATTCACTATATATTTTTCATTAAATTCCTTTTTTTTTAGTTCTTCACAAAGGTAATTCTGTTTCAGACATAATCAAACACTAAATGAAGATATTTCTTTTAAGGAAAATTATTTAAACTTGGTTTGTTTCATTGTAATGAACTTGCCTCCTTTGCAAGACCAAATCATGTTGCCTATTTTATCAGCATTCAATTAAAAATTAAATCGATATTAAATTGTTAACTTTTTTTGGCAACTAAGAAATATAACTCTCGTTTTATCAACTTACTCATTTTAAGGATAAAGCGATAACTTTGATCTTTGGTTGTGACTCCAAGTTCAAGACAGAAATTGAACTTTGATTCTTGGATAAGAAATACAAGAATTAAATTATTTGTGCTAATAATTTTTTTAGTGAAAATTAAAATTAAAATATGTGTGATTTAATATAGAAAAAGTTATATGTTATCAATTAAAAATAAAGACTCAAGATGCACCATTGAATGTTGCGTAACTTAACATACAAATGTTAACCAAATGTGATTCACATGAAGAAAATAAAAATGATTAATTATATATAAAGAATAACAAGTAAGCACTTTAAAAGTATATATATATATATATATATATATA